CGGAACAAAACAACGCCTGGGTTTCAGGCTTGCTGCCGCTCCCGAGGAGCCAGAGTGTACTTCATGCCTGGAGCTGTCGCACTCAGTCTTCCCTCAGCATGCAGGTGCATTCTGCGGCTCCTGGAGCCAGACATGCGATGTCCTGATTCTTTCAGTACGAGGTCCCCGGAAGTTCCGACCCGTTTCCCACGGACGGTTTCCATCCCGAGTCTTTTTTGTTGACGATCCCGGGGCCCGGTAAGGGACCCCAACGGCCGAAAATTGAAACAAATTGCCGTCCTGACTGTTTTCAGGACGCTGCATGTCTGGGGAGCTGTGTACCCCAGGGCAGTTCCAGAGCGGCACGAGGAGCCCTGAGATCCGAAGTTGTGAAAACAGTGCAGCGTCGAGAAAAATCACGACTGGACCCCTGGACCCCATCTTCATGCGGCATCTGTTCGAGCCGGTTCGATCTGTGATGGCCCCTGGGCCCGAAACCCAGCGAAAATGAGCGTTGCGAAAGAGTTGCCGCGCCCGGATCTTCCGGTAGGCTGCGCCCACCCTGTGCCAGGATCTTCTGACCCCTTGGCCTGCGAGCCCCCTCTGGCGCGCTCTGCTCCAGGGGCCTCTGTGCCGGCACCTCGCCTTCGCCTTCGCTCAGGGCGCCGCGCGCCAGGCCAAGGGTCCTGGGGCCCGGGGCGGCTCCCTAGACATCCGACGCTATGAGTCTGGCAGGTACCTCTGGGCTGCCCAGGGGAGCTTCCTTGCAGGTACCTCTGGGCTGCCCAGGGGAGCGTCCCTGCAGGTACCTCTGGGCTGCCCAGGGGAGCGTCCTTGCAGGTACCTTCGGGCTGCCCAGGGAGGTTTCTGAATCTGCGGCCCCAGAGGTCTCTACCCCCCTGAGAGCCGGGCGTCGCTTTGTTTCCGCGCGGGGTGTTTGCGCTCGGTTTCGGGCGCCGGGGCCATCATCAGACCGGCTGTGACATGCAGCAGAAAGATGGTGTCTATGGGTTGCGGCGAGGATTCCCGCGATGCTGCAATTTCTCTGCGACGGTGGATCTCCGGGACTGCGCGGCACCAGTGGCCCCGACCCCTTTCCCCAGCCGGTAGATTCGCGCCCGGGATCCATCTTTGTTGGTCCCGGGGCCCGTCAAGCTGCCCCCAGAGGCCGGACTCGTGGGAACCAGCTTGGGCTGCCGTCGGAGGTCGGGGCTTCCCTGCCTGGTGCTCCGCCGTCGTGATTGTGTCAACGCGTGGATCCCTGGACGTCCCTGACCCTTTCCTCCAGGCCTCCTAGATGGGGTCGGCGTAGATGGGGTCGGAGGATCGGGCTGCATCGGCGATGCATCGCCGATACGGCTCGATGTGGAGCCCGATTTGCTTCACGCGGACGTCGCCGATGCATCGCCCACGTCGACGATGCATCGCCGATGTATCGGCGATGCGGCCCGGTCCTCGGACCCTATTTCCCCAGGGCTGGTTTTCCGTCCCCAGTCGTTTTGCCGTGTCACGCTTCGCTAGGGGCTGCTTATACAGTCAACCCGCATGGTAAGGATGGGCAACCTTCCCAAGGGTGCCGTCGCATCCTTGCCTCCTCGGTCCATGCTTGGCCACTTTCGTGGTCCGCGCCCCGCTCGGACAAGCTTCGAAATGGGCGTCCAAGGCCCTTGCACCCTTATCGCGCATCCTTACGATTCGGGTCGTCTGTAGTGGTACAGTCGGGGCGCTGAAGAAGGAACCCTTTTAGTTGGGGAGGGGCTCCGTGTTCCTTGATTGTGTCACAATTGATTTTAGGTTGTCCTTAGGTTTTCGATGGGAAATCGAAGTTCGACTTGTGGAAAACAGGGGCCTCGTTCCTTATTTAGGGTTCCTTAGGTCAATGCCCCGACTGTAACAGAGAAAACCACAGAGGGTGGGAAGCCACAGAGGAGTCCCACACGGGGGGGGCGCGGGGCCCTGGACCACCAGGCCCGGCAGCCGTTTCGCCCAAGATTTTCCGCACAATGTACTGAGGAAGCGCCCTCTCGCCTCGATGGAAGCTGAATTTGTTCGGCGTCACCCCAGCATACCAAGTACGATGTGTTCGTCGCCCCCCATGGGCGACGCGCGCACCGAGAAATCTTATAGTATTTGCGTCGTGGCGGGTGCTTTCTGGCCACACCGCTCGGGAAACGACATGCTACAATATGGGTATACCATATGTTCGGGTCGGACGCGCGCCTCCATATATATATATGTATGCATGTATGTATGTCTGTCTGTCTGTCTGTCTGTCTGTCTGTATGTATGTGTGTATGTATGTATGTATGTATGTATGTATGTATGTATGTATGTATGTATGCATGCATGCATGTATGTATGTATGTATGCATGCATGTGTGTATGTATGCATGTATGTATGTATGTATGTATGTATGTATGTATGTATGTATGTATGTATGTATGTATGTATGCATGTACGTATGTATGTATGTATGTATGTATGTATGTATGTATGTATGTATGCATGCATGCATGCATGCATGCATGCATGCATGCATGCATGTATATATATATATATCGATGTGTATATATATACATATATATATACAGTATTTGTATTTCTCTGTGCGTCCCATTTTTGGTTCAGACGGCCACGATCTCTTTTGCACAGAATGCACTGATGTGCGCCTGGCCGTGCTCTCGCCCCTGTGCGGCTGCATGGCCCTGTCACGACCTCGCATTCCCCGACCCGTCTCTCCACCCGTGCTGCCAGCAGAGCGCCCTTGTCAGGTTCTCTGGCAGCCCCCCAGGCCTGGCGAGGGCACCCAGAGGCCGAAAATGGCAACAACCACGCCCGTCGTGTTTTGTTTGTTTTGTTTTTTGTTTGTTTTTGCATTTTTTTCCACGACGTGCAGGGGTCTGCAGTGCGCATGCCCGAACACACAGAAGAGGGGCTCGCAGGCCCCCCCCTATTTTCCCTACTCGAGCGCCCGACCGCCCCCGACCGCCCGGGGCCTCTCCCCAGATCTCCGGCGCTCCCGCCTGTTCGACGCGGGTGCTCCTGGAGGGTCGGAGGTCCGCTTCTCCTCCTCCTCCTTCTCCTCCTCCTCCTCCTCCTCCTCCTCCTCCTCCCCCTCCTCCTCCTCCGCCTCATTCTTCCTTGTCGCGCTCGACCAACATAAGCATCAAGACTGCTGCGATCAGCGGTAAATGAAAAGCGTGCGCGGCGAAGCCGACTTAGGCAGAGTGTGCAACACATCAGACGAGGCAAGCATGGCGGGACAAACATATAGGCAAGAGAGACAAGCAAAAAGAGTGAGACCCCCTGGCTCGGCGCACACGCTTGCTTCGTGGTGTGCAGAGGAGGATGCCGACACGATGATCCAGTAATCGAATACCTTACCGAAAGAGGAACCGAACGAAGGATAGGACGAAAAACACGTGCAGGCCGGCCTGCTAGTCTTGAGCAGTGGGTCCCCCGTAGTTGACGCTCTCCAATCAGTGCTTGCACTGAAGGGGTCCTGGCGGATCTTGAAGGATTTGGCGAAAGTTGGCGGCCGATTTCGGTAGGCGGCCGAGTTCCCGTGTTCCCGGTTCCGGGTTCCCCGGTTCCCCGTTGTTGGTTCTTTGTCGATCTCCTTATCGATCGGTCTCACCATCGATCTCATTAATTACCCACATCTCGCAATCGATCTCGCAATCGATCTCGCAATCGATTTCACAATCGATCTCACTATTGATCTCACAATCGATCTACTACAGATCGCCCGAGTGATCTCATGATCGATCTCACAATCGATCTCACGGAAACGACTTCACTATCAGTCTCACGATCGACCTTATTATCGTCCTCACTATTGATCCCACTATCGATTTCATTATCGATCTCACAATCGATCTGCATATCGAATATCTGTATCACGAGTTTTCAAATCATCCACTGTTATGGTTTTTCTCTAGTGTAACGTAATACTGTGTAGTCAGGCAGCATGACTGCGGCAGGTGTAGTGTCGGAGTCCCTCCCCTCCAATCAACCTGAACCTCCACATCCACCCCTAAGTCAAGGACGAAAAGTATTACGGTGCAGGCTGAGGCTAGCTCATACTGTAGGTTGGGCTGTGACGCTAGTCAAAAGTGAGGACGATAGTGATGTCGATCGGAAGACCAATCTTGAAGTCGATTCCGTGAGATCGATAGTGAGATTGATCATGAGATCGCTCGTGCGATCTATAGTGGGATCGATTGTGAGACCGAATGTGAGATCGATAGTGAGATCGATTTTGAGATCGATCGAGATGTGGGTAATGAGATCGAAGACCGGTCGATAAGGAGATCGACCAGGAACCTGGGAACCTGGGAACCCGGGAACCCCGCCGGCCACCGGAATCGGCCTGGGACCAGCAACCGGGAACCGGGGAACCGGGAACCCGGAAACCCGGTCGCTACCGAACTCGGCCGCCAATTTTCGCCAAATCTTCCAAGACCCGCTAGGACCACTTTAGTGCAAGCATTGATTCGGGAATCATATGCTGTCGGCTGGCTTTGCCAGTGCCGGCTGGCCTGGGTTGGGATCTGTTGTCTTAATCGGCGTAGACAGTGTTGGTTACCCTCCCCCCTGCAAATTACCTGCCCGTCCCTGCGAAAGTAGGCTGGAGCAGCGTGCGGGTGAGATTGAACTTACGGCCTGCGACAGCATTGTCAAGTGCCATTACTTAAAGAATGATTATACCGATAAGCTGATGTAGGTTTGGTAAGGATTCGCTCAATCCCGAGCAACATGGGAGAGCACCCTTCGCTAAAATCCCAAGAAAGGCGTGTAACACTTGTGGCATGCAAACCTGTCTATGGAAGAGATTGCTGCAGGCATGTCGCGGCGCATCGTACTGCCTTGGGTGGTTCGGGCTCCCTGGGGTAATTGCGGGGAGGGCCCGCCCCGCAGTGACCCAAGGTGGGATGGTACAGGTACGGTGCCTCCTCCTCCTCCTCCTCCTCCTCCTCCTCCTCCTCCTCCTTGTCACACCGCTCCGCAGCCATTTTGGCTCAAACCAGTCTGGCTCCAGGGCGGGGGGGAGCGCCTGCCCTTGCTTCCCTCCCCGGCCCACATGGCGACCAGTGGCCCGCAGCCCCTTCTGCAGCTCGGCCGCGGCCCTGGGGAGCCATGCCGGCCGCGCCGGCCCAGGGCCCGCAGCCGCGGGGGCGCCTGCCGAGCCCCCGGGGCCGCCCAGACGGGGTCGGGCCCCTCGGGGAGGGCGGGGGCGGCGGCGCGGAGCTCCCAGGGGCTGCTCCCCTCTCGGCGGGCTCCTCGCCGCAGTCCGGGGACGAGGGCCTGCGGCGCGACGAGCGGCGCAGCAGGACGGAGCAGTACCACTTCGTCGACGACGATGCCCCGGGCAAGGGCATCAGCGGCAGGACCCTGAGCGATCCAGCGCAGGATCAGCCAGTAGTACGAGCGTTGAGCTGCCAGTCCTCCTGGACCGGCTACTCGAGTTCCTCGGGCGCGCGCTGGCAGAGGGAGCACAACAACGAATGGCGGCCGTACAGCGACGGCGTGCACAGCAAGATCGAGGCAGCCTTCCTGGCTGGGGAGTCGAAGGTGCGCCTCAAGCTTCAACGTCCCAAGGGCGACGAGCTGAAGGAGAACCACCCCTACCCGATGGTGGAGGTCTTCTTCGAGGATATGGTCCAGTACGACCCTTGGAATAACTGCAGGCACCGCGTGCGGCGAGTCGGGCCCGCGGGGCTGCTGTTCCACGCCCGCTGGGCCCTGGGGAGGCTGAGGCACCTGGCGGACACGGGGCGCTGGCGGCTCGAGACGCAGGGGGAGTACGAGGAGCGCCGGGATCGTGTGGCGTCGGGCGTGCTTGCTCTCCTGGAGAAGAAGGAGGAGGACGTCCACACCTTCTGGGTACGGCACCACGCGCGGCGGCTGAGCGGCTCTCGCTCCTGCCGGAGCTTCAGCAGCGGGTCGTTGAGCATGGAGAACGGGTGGGCCAGGGTCGCCGGGGCTCCCTGGTTCTTCATGCTGTCCATGCTGTTTGTCGTGCTGAATGCTGTGTGGATATGGGTCGAGACAGACATGAACGACGGCGCCAGCTTCATCCAGGCAGAGTTTCGAGTTCAGGTGGTTGAGGTCGCGTTCTGCGCATACTTCAGCATTGAATGGTTCATCCGGTGGAAGTCATATGACCTCACGGCGCAAGCATTGAGCGACAGATGGTTCTTGTTTGATGCAATCTTGGTTTTTTTCATGATTATCGAGATTGTTGTGGTACCAGCGAGCGTGGCGATTGCTCATTCAGACACCAGCAACGCAGGAGGCACCGACATAGGGGTATTTCGAACGCTGAGGTTGTTGAGGCTCTCTCGAGTGGCACGGCTGCTACGGGTGATACCAGAATTGATGATGCTCATCAGAGGCATCAAAGCTTCGCTGCGGACCGTGTCATTCACAGTGATATTATTGAGCGGGTTGCTTTTCATATTCGCTGTATTTTTCAAGACCCAGGTAAGAGACCACCCTTTGGAAGAAGAGAAATTTTCAACTGTTTTCAACTCAATGCTGACGTTGTTGATGTATGGAACATTGCTGGACAGCCCGATGGAATTTTATTTAGAGATCACGGACGAGTGGCCAGAACTCGTAATCGCTTACTTGGTATTCATATGTCTGAGCAGTTTTACTTTACTGAATATGCTCATTGGCATGTTGTGCGATGTCGTCCAGAAGGTGGCTGACCAGGACCAGTCTGATATCGAGGTCAGATTCCTGACAGATAACTTGCTGAATATTCTGCAGGACTTCGATACAAGTGGGGATCGCCACATTAGCCGCGACGAGTTCAATGTCCTCATGCATAGCCCTGATACTCACGATGTGTTGACGAAGTTTGGCACGGACCCAGAGAGCTTCATATTGCTGGCCGACCAGATATATGAGTGCGACGCGGACGGACTCTTGAGCTTCAAGGAATTCTTCGACACGGTGATGAGGCTCCGCGGCGGCAACAGCGCCAGGGTCAAAGACATGGTGGAGCTTCGGCTCTTCGTCGGGAAGCAGTTCGAAGCACTGGGCAAGCAGGTCGGCGAGATGAGCAACCGCGAGAGCAAAAAAGGGATTGGCCCTGGCCACCCCTCGAACAGGCCCGCGGGCTCGCGCGGAGGCCGGAAGGCAGCTGGCCGGCGGGGCGCCCTCGAAGAGTCGGACGGCGCGTCGGCGGAGTCCTGGTCCTCCGCCTCGAGGTCGAGCTGTAGCGAGGCTGGCGAGGCCCGCGCCGCGTTGCACAGGAGCTGGCGCCTCTTGTCGAGGACGAGGAATGCCGACCCGCGGAAGGACGAGGCGAGGTTCTCCGAGCTGCGGAGGAGCGCCGACCAGCGGAGCGAGGTGCGGAGGTTCACCCTGCCTTCCCCACGCAGCGGGCCGAGCGCGGCGGCCCCTTTTGACGACGGCACGGCCAGGAGGCTGGACGAGCTCCTGGCCGGCGTGCGGGCCCTTCAGGAGGGGCAGCGGGCCCTGCAGCAGGGGCAGCGGGCCCTGCAGGAGGGGCAGGAGGCCCTGCAGGCGGAGGTGGCCGGCCTCTGGGGCGCAGTGAAGGGCAGGCCGCCGCACTGCCAGCCGCCAGCCCCGGACTGCTCGCTGGCCGACTATGCCGACCCTTCCCCGAGCGGGGCGGGCCGCTCGCCGCCAGCGCCAGCCGACCGCCGCTCGCCGCCAGCCGCCCCGGCAGCGGACCCCGCGGCGCTGCAGTACGCCATGTGCTCGGATGGCGGGCGCAGCGGGTGACCCCCTGCTCAGCCCGTCTGCGCGCAGCGCGGCTGCACTGTGCGCGCCTGGCGTCGCGTCGTCGTGCCGACAGGAGCTCCAGCCACAGCTGGGCCGCAGCCCCCGTGCAGCCGCGGCGCCCCCCCCCCAGCGGCGGACCCCGCGGTGCCCGAGTATGTCACCTGCTCGGGCCGCGTACGTAGCGGATGACCTTCTCCTCGCCGCCCGCCCAGACTTCCGCGGACGAAGGGCAGTGTAGAGACGCTTTGTCCTCTGGGGACGCTTGTCCTGTGGCGCACGGTAGCAGCAGCAGCAGCCGTGCGTGCCCAGTGATGGCCCGAAAACGGCAAGTCATTCTCGAGGTCCTTGTAAGTGTGGCCTCAGCTAGCAGCCAGCACTGGCGCAGTGTACCGCGCACAGCGCGGTGAACAATCACATTCATCCCCCTTAACCGTCTTGACTTTTTTCGGGCGAAGGTCGGTTTAGAGACTTTTTCGCCAGGGATGCCTGTCCTATGGCAGAACGTAGCAACAGCATCCGTGCCCAGTGATGGCCCGACGACGGTAAGTCATTGTCGAGGTCCCTTCAAGTGTGGCCTCAGCTAGCACTGGCGCAGTGTACCGCGCACAGTGCGGTGAGGCGTCACCTTCATCTTCCTTCTCTGTGACCTCCTTTCGAGCGCCCTTGTCCCGCCAGCGTACCTGTGTTGGGCGCGCCAGTTTGGCGAGAAAGACGGCATGCCCGCGGCGCCCGAGTCTGGGGCTACCGTGGACTCTTGCCTCCCGTGCGTCGACCAAGCGGCCGGGACAGCAGTGGACGCGTTTGTGCCTCCTGTCGTATGCTCGACCCGGTGGGAGCACACCTATGTCCTCTCGAGGGGCTGTAAAAGGCACGACAGTGAGACAATATAGTTCCACTCGTAAGAAAGTCAGCTGGCTGTAGGTAGAAGGCTACTGTGCAAGCAAGCATAGACAAGTATCTGCTGGCTGTGTGTAGCGCGCGACGGTGCAGGGTGAAATCAGGTGTGGCATGGGGTCCCTCGGGTATGGGTAGAGCTCATGCACAGAGCCCCGTGCACTGGAGGATGCAAGCTATGATGCCAGCAGTACCGCACCCCTCCCCTCCTCTAAGCCTCCCACCAGCCTCCCCGCCCAAGTAATGTGAGGTGCAGGTATGCGGGGGGGAGGCGACGTCAGGCTCAGTAGGTATGCGTCCTGTGGCCACTGTAGTTCTTGTGCCTCTCCCCTAGGTGTGCCCTGCAGGGCTCCCATGCAGGGTATGAGGCTGTCTGTGCTAGATGTGAATGTAGTGGTGAAGCGCTGTCTGTGTTGCCAGTGCCCCATGGTGTGGACGGGTACTTAGTCTTGCCGGTTGGTGGTGCTTTGCGTGGATGCATTTCTATTCCTACTAAGTACTGCGTGTACTGCTGCTGGTGCTCTCGTATCCTGTTGAGGACTTCTGTCAAAGTTGGCTTGTTGTAGTTGTTGGCGTTGTGTAGTCGGTAGTCGTGTGTAGGTATTGGAGTCGATCCCGTTTGGCCGTCTTCCATGGGTGGTAGAGCTTTGGGTGGAACGTTGGGCCGTAATGGTTGCTTGCGTCTGTCGCGTACGCTGTGCCGGTGGAACGTCCGCTGGCCATCCGCATTTGGCTGTCGAACTACCTTGCGGTGGGCAGACGACGGGTCTGTTGAGCTTCGGTGGTCGCAGTGGTTGCTGTGGAATTTTATATGCGGGGCGTTCTGGGGTGCTGGACTTCTCTGTGGTTGGCGTAGCACTGTCTCCTGGCGTGTGGTGCGTCGTCTCTTCTGCTGGTAGAGCTGGTTTGTCCGCGTTGCGTTGTTCCTGGACTGCTGGTGTCGGAGGGCTCATGGTGCTGTCATTGGTGCTTGGGAGAGAGGAGTTGCTTGTGCTGTCTGGTGTGTACGGAGCTGGTGGCTCGTGTATGTAGCCGATCTTGTCCAGTATCGCTGCTGTCCTTGGGAGGTCCTCTGGCCACTCGCCTCCCAAGATCTTGTAGAACCATTGCGGTGCATGTGTGGGTGCCGTGGTCCAGCTAGCGTTGGGGTCTGCGTCGGGTCGAATGAGCATATCGTGGATGTACTGGTTGGCTAGTGCTACGTCGATGCGGGAATCGGTCAGAAGGCGATGTATGGGAGTCTGTAGCCAGGTGCCGTTGGGGGGATGTGCCCCGTGCAGCGCCTGCGAATCATGTCCTGGTGTTCTACTCTGTCTGCTCTGCTTCGCGTAGTTCATGTAATAGGATCGGCATTTCGTGGTCGTAGATGTGATCATCGCCCATGTCAGTGCTCAGGCCTTTGAGCATTTTCGGTGTCTTGTAGGTGAAGGTGTCGTCCATAGGGTGCGGAATGTGGTCTGACCTTGTGCGTCGATGGTGTGATTGGGACTGCAAGGTGCTGGGGGTGGATTATTGGGATGGTCGTGGGTTCGAGTGACCATATTGTGGATGGCAATTTTGGATTGCCCGGAATTGGTGCGAGTAGCTCGAATTGGGTCGGTGCCATATTGGATTGCGTCGGTGTGTGTGTAGGGCTGTCTTTCTGTGAGTTTCCCATGTGTCTAGCTGTTGTATGTAGTCGGGAATCGTGTGTACTTCGACGTGCTGAGGCTGCTCGTAAGTTGTAGGTGGTGTGATGTGTCGGTGCGTCCTGTCAATGATCAAGGTGGCCCATGGTGGGTGAAGTGCTGCTCCAGAGGTGTGCAGTGAGTCTGCTTGTACGTTGGTCAGTGAGAAAAGCTCCGAGCCCGTGCCTACATTGTCGTTGATTGGTCACTGAGCAGATAAAGCGGTTGTCAGGTGCCTGATCATGTATTGTGCGTATACTTCTGTTCTCGTCCATGGCCAAGTCGTACCGCTTGATGGTCTGCTGGTTCTAGATATTGTAGAGGGCCTCCTGGCGGTCCCGCTCAATACCGTCGTTGTTGTAGTAGGCATGTTAGAGTCGTACCCGTTCTGCTGCAATGTCTTCTGTTAGCTGTGCCATCGTATTGATTTAATGGTCTGGTGCTGGATGTCGTTCTCGTGTACCTCTTTTCCTTGTACGGGAGGCTCACCGTCGCGACGCCTTTTCGGTGGCCTATAGTACGGAATGACGTACGGTGGTAGTGCCCAGTGATTCGCGATGCTGTTGTGGTAGCGCATCTGTTTCCAACGCTGTAGTGTGTCGTCGAGTCGCTGGTGCAGCAGCTGAAAGTACTTGTTGCGGGTAGGTCTGCGATAGTGATGTGGCCTTGTCGTATGGTGTATGCCTATCCCTCTCGTGTTGGGACTGATCGGTATTCGTGGCCAAGCCAGATTGACATGTAGACATCCTGTCGTTCAGCTCCTCGTTCTTGACCTTGTCTTGTTTGTTTCGTGTCACTTGGAAACGTGGTCGTGAGTTATTTGTAGGTTCAAACGTGGCTTGGGGTAGCTGTGCGGTGGAGTAGTGTGTTTGGTGCTGCACTTTCTTTGTAAGCGAGGAGTGGTGGTAGGCTGTCGTGTCCGTAGTCCGTGTAGTGGTAGGACGCCGATGGGTAGTGTTCGTAAAGTAATTGCTTGCGGTCGCATTTTACTTGGTCATGTGTATATCCAAGACAGTTAACCAAGCGAGCCTTTGTACGTCAGCGTAGTTGGAGACCTGGGCGTCGTAGCGGACATCCCTTTTTGTGTGGTGTTGTCGTCCACGGCAACTGTGACAATTGTAAGAGGAAGGGCTTGTCGAAGTATGCGTGCGAGCATTTGAGCAATAGTTGCTGCGGCGTGAGCATGTCTCGTAACATGTGTCGGTCTCGCGTCTCGGGTTGCAACGTCCGTCCCAAGTGAGCAATGGTGCTTCGCACATGTAAACGCTGACTCGTGTGTGCATCGCGATGTTCTGCTCGATGTATACTCTGAGAACTACCGGTAGGAGAACTCGTCAAACCAAAACGCTTTGTGCATCTGTCGCTATGTAGTATGCAGGCCATCTGTATAGCACAATGAGATATGCGCCTCCCAAGCCCCTACCCGAGGTATGCCTCGTAGGGCTCCCATGCCAGGTGTGGGACGGGCCGTGTAAGTAGGACAGACTCTGGTACAGCCCTTTATCCCCTCTCCGAGGTATGCCCCTGGGGCTCCCATGCCGGGTATGGGGTGTGCTGGTGTGACTGAGCGGTGAACGTGTCAGTGTTGTAGTGTAGTCTGTTCTCTCTATCTTGTGGTAATACAGTGCTGCTGGTGGTGTTTATGCTGGTCGTTGGGAGTCATGTTGGTCGGTGGTCAGTGGTAGTTGCTCCGTAGGTATTGTTCGAGGTTCGTGTTAGTGTTAGTGATGCGATTTACCCTTTGACTAGTGCTGGTTTGGGGGGGGTGGCTTTTGCATGTAGGATCACTGCCTGGTTGGATGCTGCCTGTGTGGTGGGTGATGAAGGCCATTGTTGGACTTGGTCGTTGTCAGTGGTCGAGGTCGTTGTTGCTTTGTTGGTGCTAGAGGTAAGTTTGTATTAGTGGGTGCAAGTGCAGCTGAGTAGAGGCTAACAGACTAGAAGTGTTTGCTGTGAAGAAAACAAGGTAACGAAGAGGTCATGTAAGCATACCTGGGGCCACTTCGTGCCCCTCCCCGAGTTATGCCCTTTAGGACTCCCATGCTAGGTATGGGGCGGGCCACATGTGATCCTCGTGTCATATTCAACGTAAGTGTCAATCTATGTCCTTACGAGTATTGATTAATTGCGTAAGTCGCTTGTCAATCTATGTCAATTCCGGGGTTGATAAGACAGTTGTCATAACATGAGAGACAACTCAGCCGTGCGGAAATATTGATATGCGACGTTATTATGCATGACTGGTGCCTTTCCGAGTTCCTCCCTGGGTATGCACCGCATGGCTCCCATGCCGGGTATGGAGCGGGCTGCATGCCTGAACAGCAGTGTCGTGTCAGTTTTGTTGAGAGTGGACGTCGTGGGCGTATGATTTGGGCTTATGCTGGGCGTGGAGCTGGTCGTGAAAATCGTCGCCGTGCTAGCGTGGTCTGCTGAAATTTGGGCGTGGTACTTGCGGAGGCTATGCATGGGCCAGCCCTCAGTGCTGGGGTGTGGTCTGGAAGTCCGTCTGCTCGTTTGGAACTTGTGCCTCAATGTGTGGTCTGTGCAAGTCGAAGTAGGGGTCTGAGGGTACATATCCTGTGTAGTCAGAAGTGCAGGCGATGTCGAACGTGTCAGGGCCCTTGCTGATTCGCCGTGTAGAGTCCACGCAGGTCCGTCGGTCAATTCTAGTTTTGTGCCCTCAGTTGGTGGTAGGTCTGTAGGGTTGTGTCATAGGCATGGGCATCTGCTTCTGTTGCGTCTTAATGCAATCTCCGTGACCGGTGTTGGAAGGTGTAGGGCCAGTACTCTTGTCGGTGCTTTGGTCGGCTTGCCAAAAGTAAACTGGTCGATATCGATAGTTTACGTCGCCGATGTTGCTTGTCTAAGTTGATGTACCCGCCAAAGGTTGGGTACGCTTGAGTGCCATCTTGGTTGGTTCGAGCAGCGGGTCGCTGGTGTCTGCATGTCTTTGGCAATGTGGAGTCTCATGTCGTGTACACGTCTATTGGATATGCGCTAGAATTGTTGCGTCGACTGGTTAGGTGCACCCAATAGCTCCGTGGTTGTCCTGTGTGTCGTAGAGGCTGTCCATGTGTCGTTGGTCGGTCTTGTGGTGATGGCTACTACCCGTGCTTGTATGGTTCGTTGGGCCAAGATGTCAGTGACCTTTGGTACTGCTAGGTTGACTGGCGAGTCGCTGCCGTATCCAATGCTAAGGCACGTGTACCTTTGCGTGATGCAGTTGTGCTCCAGATGCTGCTGAAGGTCGTTGTGGTAAGCATCAGCATGATACATATGTATATGTATTCTGTAATAAGGATTGCTCTTGTTGTATGTGAGGGGCTGTTTGTCTGCGGTCAGTACCTCAACGGTCGTGGTTGGTGGGTTGGGTGCCGTGGACTGCTTGTAGTCGACTGGTTTAGTCGCTGGAGTCGCCGCTGTGTCTGCACGTAGCTCCTTGTCTTTGTTAGC